ATTTCTTTAGGTCTTGCATTCTCTTTTATGTGCAGCATTTTGGTTCTCTTCCAGTGACGGGGCTCGCTGGAATCCATGCAGCGGACCTCCTTTTTCTCGCTCTTTTTTTCTCCGGCATACTCCAGGCAAAGATCCATTTTGTCATGGCTATGATCCGGACGTCCGGACCACCGTCCAGACGGTCTGGATTCAGTCCGGACTCCAGACGTCCGGTCCGGAAGGTCCGGTTCTGCCAACAAAAAAAAACAAGAAAAAAACGGTTTAGGACCCTTCCCCACTGATGAGCCAAGGCCCCAAAATTAATAATTCATTACTTTTAAGTTTTTACAGTCTTTTTTTAAGTTTCATAGTTTTTGACTTGTAACTCAAGTTTGGTTAGGAATTCTGACATGAGTCTGAGGCAAAAGTGGTTTGCATTGTTATTCTGCGTAACATTTTTTTTTCCAGATTTTTTTTTTTTTTTTTTTATGTTCCGGACATTTCCGGACCTGTTACTTTTAATGGTCCGGACCGTCCGGAACCATGCATGTACGGAGGTCCGGATATGCCTGGAAGTCCAGACGTCCGGACCTGACCGGACATGTGTCCTGTCCCCGGACATGAACTGTCCGGGTCCGGGTCTGGCGTAGCCAAGCATTTTGTTGAATCTTTATGTTTTTATTTTTTATTGTTTGCATGGAAAAAACATACTTGGTGTTTGTGAAGTTTCCATGCAGATCACTCTCCTTACGAGCTGCAGTGATGTGCTCAGGAGAGGAATGCCGGACCGGTCCTCTACTCCTGTTGCTGCTTCTCTATGCTCGATAGCCCAGTCATAATCTAACATGATGAATGAGCAATGATGATCATACGATGGCCATAACGAATAATGAAAACTTTCCCATGGTGATGCTCAACTTCAATGTTTATGGAAAAGAGGGTGATAAAAGGAAAATGCTGTGAGTATGATCATGATCATCATAATCATCATGGCAATAATCGTCAAAACAACAGTGAATGATCATGAGCAGGACGAGGTTGAGGAGGCGGGTAAAGAGGAGTGGTGGAAGAGGAGGAGAAGGGAAGGATGATGAATGGAGAACTGGCTATCACAGTGATGGCAGCGATGAGCGAAACAACAGGAATGATGTAGAGGGGGTGGAGCGGTGGGAGGCAGGTGATGTGAGGACAAAGGGAAGGAGTGTGAGGGGGAGGAGGATGAGATAAACAACCCCAAATGATCTAGTGGAGGCGGAGAGGTGGGTGGTGGGTGAAGCGAGGAAAAAGGGAAGGGGAGTACAAAGGGAAAGAGGAGACAGAGAAGGATTCAATGATGCATTGACAACTGCCAGCGACATTGAGGTCTTGCAGCCAGCCTTGATTACCGGAAGATGTTCCATGAACGAGCAGCATCCTGCGTTAAGGGTAGGGCGCACTCAAAACCATGCTTACATTGCTTTATCTGCCTGTACACATGGCCAACTTCGGTTGGGGAAGTGATATGGGCACAACTACCCTTCCTTTGGAACCGCTGACCTGTACCGCCCACTTCCTGAGGATTGAATATGACTGTATCTATGTTACAAACACACTAAAGATGACCGCCACTCTGTCGCCTCACACTGAGACTCGTCCTTGACGTGTTTTTCGCACGGTTGCGTCACACTCATTTTCGCGAAGAAAAGAAAAAATCAGCAAAAGCTCTTGAGCACTCAGGGTGTGCTCACGCGATTCACTTGTCCCCGATGTGCTCGAGTGCCATTATTCCCAGGTTCTTTCCAAAACTTACCAGTGTGAATATGTGAGCAAGTGTTTATTGTTAGTTGGCAGAAACCTTATAAATTGTCCTGATGACGGGCGGGAAAGATGCATATTTCCACAAATATATCGACCGTGTGCACGATGCAAAAGAAAACAAGCTTCCAATCTGATGAACAGTTCCACGAAAAAAAAGGCAAAGGACTGAGTAACAGAAATAAAAGAAAAGAAAAAACAAGGAAGTCCATACAGCTTCTGAAAAAGTAACTTCAGTGAAAGCAGCACAATCAAAGGCATTCTCCTTGACGCATAACCACAATGGTAAAGAGAAAAGGTTTTGTCCGTGGTGTGATTTTTGGCGTCATCACTTCGGCAGGTTCATCCGGCGGATTGCCATTAGACGAGTTATGGGGAAGGACTAAAAGAGACATGGAAGGACAAGCAAGCGAAAAATAGGCAATGAACAATGGGCATTAAGCCACCATTACCTCTAAGCCCCTTTTTGCTAGGGTGGAGTAGAACTGCGCGCCAAGCTTTGCTGAAGTGCCAGCGCCAAGCTTTGCATGTGATGCAAAATGTTATTTTGGTTTTAATTTCTTCATGGCTTCTTATCATTTCTGGGCAATTGCTCGTTCGTAAAGCAAGAACTCTTCTGCATCCATTTATCCCTCCCCTCCTCAATCAAGTGCTGCTCCGCAGCGCATTCCTCTTGGCTTCTGTGTCTGTTTCTAACGATTTGTTGCCCCACATGTCTTCCTCCCTATAATTCCTGGATGCATACACTGCTGGCCATCATCATACATTACGTAATCATCCGCCTTGCACTGATCCTTGCATATCCTGCGTTATGTTCGCTTCAACTCGGATCTCAGTGTGTAAACATTTATGGTCACGGTGTTGGTTCCTTGGTTTTGTTCATTGCTATAGGAACTCCTTGCGCCTTCTTTTTTTTCGAAAAAGATCTTTCCACCATACAAATTTGCTCAAATTGTCAATTTTTTCATTTTCAGGTTTCCAGTGCATGCATTTCAATGTTATCTAAGATAACTTATCTTGCTGAAATCTTACGTCCATCTGGTCATGTTCTCTTTCACAGTCTTTTGAGTACTTACTATATCGCTCCATATGGTATACACATTTTCTTCGGCCTTGACAACCGCTTATCATTCAAATTTCTCCATTATTCTGTCTCACTCCGGATATTTCAACAACTTCGTGCATGGTAGTTACGGAACAACGTGTGTTTAGGGCATCAGGCCCCGCCGTGCACGCACCGCCTCGAACCGGCACCCTCAGCATCAAGAATGAAGTCTCGTAACCACTACAACACTTGGAGGTGTTATAAAAACTGGATCCATGCCGGTCGTGATATCCAGCCCACCCCCAGGGCTGTAGCGTCCTTGAACTCGCACCACACACACACACAACATGTGGCATACTGCGTAGCCACACGGGCCCTGTAGGACCCGTCCCGGACATTCAGCCTAAAAGCCTAAAACTTAGGATCTACAGGCCCCGGTCGTTTCAGCCTGAAAACTGAAAAACGAGGGCCTGCAGGCCCTACTCCGTTTCAGCCTATTTCTGGGTCTTTCAGACCCAGAGTTTTTCCAGCCTGAAACGGAGGGCTATTCTTAGGCCCTGGGCTATTTTTAGGCCCTCATTTGTTTCGACCTGCCCTAAGATTCAGGCACTAAAACTGGGTTTCGGAACAGGCTATTTCGGGCCTGTTCCCACGCCAGCTCGAGCAGGAGCTGCAGCTGTAGCCCCTGCCTCCCTGCGGCATTATTGGCAAGAGCACGA